CTGAGCTGTCATGCCAAGCCCAAGGTTCCCATATTTTAATTTTCTTTGTGTATTTTTCTGTTTGATGTTTAAGAACGACATGATACTTTTGATTTACATATTTTGATATAATAATTGCTCTTGAGTCAAAGTTTAGCTTTGGAAGTGACAAGTTCTCAGAAAAAGAAACAAAGATGATGGTGATGTATCAAATGAATGACAACCACTTCATAATTTATAATAAAATTAGAACTTAGGGTACATCAAAACAGCGGAGTATAACACAAATTTATAGCTTTAACAATAATAAATAATAAACCTGACATTTTCAATAATAAATTGATACATAGGTGCACTAACTACATATTGAAGCCTCATGTATTATGAAGAAAAACATTGTACAAAGTTTTATTTTTGTACCACAACTGGTTTTATATTATACGCAATGTATCTCTATACATTTAGCATCTCAAAACAAGCCAGATTCATTATTTTGCAGGGGTTTATTTTTGACAAGATTTGAGAATAGATTCACTGTTTCTCCCCAAGTTAAACGTAAATATGAACTGGGCTTTCATCTCATCTGAGACCCCAAGCGTCTTCAATTAGCAAAAAAGGGTTTTGTGCAGTTCTGTGTAAAAGGCCCTGATTTCTTTTGACCCATCACCTGGGAATCACTCTGTCTCACAGTCTTCAACCATGCACGTCTCCAAATGCCCTCCTAACACATGGCTGTTGGCTTTTTTTTTTTTTTTTTTTTTTTTTTTTTTTTACTGCAAAGGCAGGTTTCCAGAGAGAGAAGAGGAAGAGGAGACAGAAATTTCTTCACTCCCCAAGTGGCTACAACAGCTGGAGCTGATCTGAAACCAGGAGTTTCTTTCTGAGTCTCCCACACAGACTTAAAGTCCAAACTATGGGCCATCCTCTACTGTCTTCCCAGGTCACAAGAAGGAATTGGATGGGAAACGGGGCAGTCGGGACATGCAAGGTGAGGATTTAGCCACTGAGCCATCATGCCGGGCCCTGTTTGCTGCTTATTTAATAAACATTTGTATTGGGCCTGACATGATGGATTGATTAATGGCTAAATCCTCACCTTGCATCTGCTGAGATCCCATATTTGTAGAAGTTTGTATCCCAGCTGCTCCAATTTCTATCCAGCTCCCTACTTTGTGGCCTTGGAAATAGGACAAGATGGTCCAAAGCCTTGGGACTCTGCATCAACGTGGGAAACCCAGCAAAGATTCCTGGCTCCTGGCAATGAATAAGCTCGGTTTTGGTCACTGCAGCCATATGGGAAGTGAACCAGCAGATCGAAAATCATTCTTTCTCTATCTCTCGTTCTCTCTATCAAAATGCGGTTTTCCAATATAAATAAAAGTATGGACTTATGTCTGTTTTTGAAGGGCTATAGTATTTTTAAAGCCTAAATATTTTCTTCTTTTTTTTTTAGATTTATTTATTTTTATTGGAAAGTCAGACATGCAGAGAAGAGGAGAGACAGAGAGGAAGATATTCTGTCCACTGATTCAGTCTCGGAGCAGCCGTAATGGCCGGAACTGTGCCAATTCTAAACCAGGAGCCAGGAGCCGCTTCTGGGTCTCCCATGTGAATACAGGGTCCCAAGGCTTTGGGCCATCCTCTACTGCTTTCCTAGGCCACAAGCAGGGGGCTGGGTGGGATCGGGCTGCCAGGATTAGTATTAGTATCGCAACACATATAAGGCGAGGATTAAAGCTTCTACACCACCACCCTGGGTCCTATAACATTGTTATAGTATAAGACTAGAGTTTAGAGGAATGGACCAGGATAGAAGGGAAAATCTCGCAGCCTAAGGAACTGTATTAAGAAAAAAAAAAATTTTTAAAGTGAGGATAGAAGAATAAATTTAAACATATAAAAGAACTAAAATAAAATTAAAAAGTTATATCTTGGTTCTGAACAGGTATGCCTCAATATGAAGTTACTGCTCTAAGCCATACTCCTCAGGATATCTTAGATTTTTTTCTACTGGAGAGGCAAATATTTCTAGAGAGAAGAAGAGACAGAGAGAAGAACTCACATCCACTGGTTCTCTCTCCAAACGTCATTTTGACTGACTACATATTCAGTAAACTTTCAAAATCATCCAAATAACTGCTCAAGGCAAACCTATTAGGTCTACTTTCATTTTACATCTGCATTGAAATTTTTGTCGCCATTCAAAATGCTCCCATTCTATAACAGAATGTTTCCTCCTGGCAAATAATCTATTGAGAAATCTTTTAAAAAGTGTATCTCTTCATTTAATCCGCAAATTGCAAAGTGAATGTGTTTTGTTCCTTATTTAACATTTTTCAATTCAACTGCTATTAAAGTGTTTTGCGGAAATTCGTTAATTTTTTCTGTATTGTGCTACCTAAAAAGCCATGGTAAGAATAATTCATTCAACAAAATGAACTGAATTTCTACTATTAAGAAATCTTTGGAGACTAAAATGCGTAGATCAGAAGAAGCTGTTCATTGGAATTTTCTCTGGTGAAAGTAGGATGTGTGAAGTCTCAGAAGATACTACTATGAAAACTCTGCATCATGGTGATCCAGCTAGAAAACTCAATGTATAGAACTCTTTGAGGCTGAAAAAGAAAAACTTAAAACACTGCAGAATTGAAACGAATAGCCCAGCTCTCTCTGTTTTCGTTTTACATGTTTAGGTATAGGACTTGCCTCTTTCTATCATCCCCACCCCCTTTTTTCTCCCCTTCCCAGGGACTCTCTATTTTACATTAATGCAGTCTTTCAGCTATAGTCACGACTCCAGCGTCTTGCTCTTTAGCGAGTCATGACATTGTAGGAACAAGCAGGAATAGATAGTCTAGTATTTTGTTATCAAGGTATATTTATCAGTTTCATCACAGGCCTGCTTTTATTCAGGAGCAGATATGGAATTGATCGCTGATACTCTGATTTCTATTACATCATTATTTTGTAAGATAACAAGTGTATAGTTGTTTACCTCTAAATCTTTGCTTTGTATTTTGGATGAAAGTTCTTGTAATAGAAAGAACACATGATATTATTCCTTTTAGGGTAAGTTTATTTCACTGAGCATAATGTTTTCCATATGGGACCACTTTGTTGCAAATGGTACAATTCCATTCTTTTAAATAGCTGAGTAATACTTCATGGAGTAGATGTAACACAGTATCTTTATCCAGTCCTGCTTCAAAGAGCATTTAGGTTGTTTCCATGTCTTTGCTATTACTGATTGTGCTGCAATGGTCACGGGGCGCAGGTTGCTTTCTCATATACAGCTGTCACTTCTTGTGACTATATTCCGAAGAGTGGGATTGCTGTGAGGAGTCCATTCCATTTTCATGTGCAGTGATCATAGACATTGGGATGTCTATGATAAGGAAGATTTTTTTTAATAATGCTTTCAATGCAACTTGATGGGACTTATGCAACAATATTTGGTTTTCTAAATATTTATCTTCTTTAAAGAAACATACAAAAATTTGGAGTGAACTGCATGATTATAGAAATAAGCTGTGGTCTACAATGAGATCCAGAAAATGGTTTGAGTGTACAGTTCAGGAAGTAAGTGAAGCAGTAGAGTTCCACTGAAAATGTGTCCATTCATTCTGAATTACTTAGAACCAATCTTGAAGAAACAGTGCAGTTAACTTCCCCATGTGCTCGAATTTCCAAATGCATATCATATGTTGCTATGGTTTGTGCTCATATATCGCCCTGTTCTGCCTAAGCTGACTTCTTCTGGATTACAGATTTAGGTTGTTCAAAAGCATGGAAATAGAAAAAATTATCCATTTCAGTTTAGACAGTTTTACAGATGAGCAGGTGGCTGATTAAAAAAAAGGATTAAAAAAAAAAACACTCCTTGGTGTTGAGGCAATAGCAGCATTTGAAGAGCAAAGAGTACCCTGTGGAGTTTAAATTAAATTCAGATTTGTTTCAGCAGGCCTTTAATAGAAACTTCATGATTGGGATGCTATGGGTTAGCTGATATCTCCACACGCTTGGCTGTGTCGAAGTGTATTTAGTCATTTTGAAAACTCAATAAAATGGTATTAGCGATAACCAACTGCTATAGTAATAAACTTATGTTCATTATTTGTAACCTCATGCTACAGTTCTTAAATGTGCCAGTTTTGACAAAAGTATTTTAGTTCTGCTTCCCTTGCCTTTTGCGTTTATTGCTAGTATTTTATTTTTATTATTTTAGCTTTTCAGTTACAACTACCAATCTCACTTTTCCATAGCCAGTTAAATTTTCACTGCCTGAAGGATATCCTTTGGACAATAATTAAGGGAAGCCAGGCCCCTAGATGTTCTGTCATTGTGAAAAGAATTTGGAAGGTCCTGTCCGCAGAGTGCTCTGTCACTGTATTACTGCTAAGGCTTTTATTTAGCTTTTTCTTTCTTTCTTTTTACCTTTTTTTTTTTTTTTTGTAATAGAGAGGAAGATAGAAATGAAAGCTTGATTAAACTAAGCATATCATAAACAAGAGTCTCTGTTTGTTTCTGTGCTAATTTCTTTACTTTTATAAATGTGATATGCCTCCTCTCTTTTATTAGAATGATTTGAGTAAAGCTCCTGAAAAGTGCTGACACTCCAGGGCTTGTTCAGGTGTTTCCTTTAGCTAGTAAAGGTGGCCGTCATCCCACGGTTTTGTTTGGTATGCATTAGATAACACAGTACAAAAATAAAGGATTTTGCAGGAAAGGGATGTTTTAGCCCATGGTATGTACAGTCAAAATTCCTCACGTGGGGTCCAGTGTTGTGGCCTGGGAGGTAAACCACATGTGACACTGGCATCCTATATGTACAGCAGATTGAGACCTGACTTTTCCCCTTCCAATCCAGCCATCTGACATTGGACCTTTGACAACAGCAGCAGAAGATGGCACGGTGCTTAGGACCTGTGGGAGATCAAGAAGAAGTTTGGGCTCCTGGCTTCAGCCTCACCCAGCCACTGTGGCCATTTGGGGAATAAATCAGAGGAAGAAGATTAATTCCTGCTCCCTTTGGGAGCACACACAGTGCAATTGGAAGGATACAGAGATCAGCATGTGCCCTGCACCAGGATAACGTGTAAACCCAAGAAGATGGATCTGCTCTCTCTCTCTCTCTCTCTCTCTCTCTCTCTTTCTGTCTCCCCCTGCCTCTCCCAATTTCTATGTAATTCTTTCAAGTAAATAAAGCATTCTTTAAAAAATATGTTTAGGAATCACAAAATATGAACCAGAAAGTTGCCCAAAATATGAAACACAAAGCTGTTTCTTATGGGAGATTATTGGATCACAAAAACTGGATGGCATCAAAGTTTGGTTGCAATATGTCAGGATGCTTTGCCAGAGTAGACAAGCACAATAATATTTCTGTTACATTGAGTTTAAAAGTTACTTGAAAATATTTTTGAGTAGGTATGTTTATATAGTTCGCTCAGTGGTCTGTAAAACGGATCACAGGGAGTGAAAACAAATGAAGGAAATCACAATAAATATAATAGGAACATTGGGAAAGACAAAACAAGCATTACATAATGTAGATAGTAATTGGATTAATGCTAATTGCTAATATTCATTGAAATGTAGCTCACTACTCATACCATTTCTGCTACTAAAAGGATAGTAAAAATAGCCTGGTCACAGAAACAGTTAAATCATGTGAAGTTTGGAAGGACTACATGTTGATGTATTTCCAGATTCAAAAAAATAAGTATAAGGTATAGTCAGGTACAGCAAATGACAGAACATGGTAGAATAAGACCACATACATGCATCTGGAGGAGTATTAATTAGGATTACATCCATTTATATTTCTTACAAAAAGACTTTAGCAATTCCTGGAAATGAAGAAAGATTCAATTTGGTCAGATATTTCTTAGAAAAGCAGGATCTCCTATCTATGTTTGTTCTTGAGTAAAATAATCCACACATCTTTTTTGTATGACATTTAGCATCAGAACTATTTAATTATATTAAACATTTTCATATCTAATGGCATATGTATGCCATATATGTGCATATAATGACATATATGTGGCATATACATGTCTATATTGGTATATCAATGCAGATATAGATACAGATATCTACCGAGATTCCGATAAAAAGTATATAGTCTTTCTTTGTTTTAATGTGGTTGATCAGATTGAGTTTTAGCAATCGTAACATGCCATTGAACCCTGACATTTAAGTAAGTAAGAACTAAATGAAGACATAGCTCGTTCTCTGAATGGTTGTAACAGGCTGCTGGGTTTCATTTGTCATAAGGTTTATGCTGGGACCAAACAATAAAGAAAAATTTCAACAATGGTCTTAAAGGGAAGGACATGTCTGCTGTCAAATGGGAAACAGAACACATTTGTAAAAATAAAAGATCAGACATGGTTAAGGGAATGCATCTAATAAATGTTGGTCTTATTTGGGCAATGATATAAATATTTAAGGATTAAATTTTATTCCATTGCTATTGGACTAAAAAAATAAATGGACTTGTCTTAAAAACTAAATTTAAGATTATTAAATATAAGATAGCAATTCAAGTTTTCAAATGATTTCATCTTCTATAGTAAGCAATATTTCCATGACAGCCTTTTTTTCCAAATTAAACTTGTCCTTAACAAAATGTTCAATGGCATATTATTTAAAACAAATATACTCACTCAGATCTATGAAGAAAAGTCTTTAGGCATAAATGTGATTCTATGTGTGTATTTTAAAAATCTTAGTAAATGTATCTTGTGCTGTGTAAAAATAAGTCTATATACCTGAATGAGCTGTGACTGACAAGGCAAAAGTGCCTTTCATTCATCAACCTGAGGAAACAGATATGGAGTTGAAAAATAAGCATTTTTTTTCCAGCTCACTCTAAAACTTTAAGTTGTCATAGCAGCTATTTGATATAGTGACCATTTCATTCTTACTTCAAAAATCCATTCTTTGTCAGGAAAATAAGACTATTAAAAACTCTGTGGTTTCAAACTGCACGCATTTAAACATTATGTTTAATGATTATCAGAAGATCTGATTGGTTTTGACAATCGCCTTTGATGAAGAATATCAGAGGAGCGCTTTCTGCTCACATCAAAGCCCCTTAGCCAGTCATTTGCAGTTGTCATAAAAGCACAGGGCTGGGCTTCCTTTACAGTCCAGGGTGATATTTATCCTTTCTATACAATCCTATCTTGATTTCAGCCAATCAAAAACTAGTTATTAGTTATACTCAACCCTTACTGCAAACCGAAGCGTTCCATCTCTTTTCCCTTCACTTTGGTGCTTGTGCATGGTGACTTTAGGGTGGAATTTCTTTTGTTATCATGAATCAGTGTAGGAGCCTTTCTTGATTTACAGACTTTTCTCAGGCCAACTGGGCTAAATCTAGATTAGATTGATGGGCAGTGAGCGAGGGATAACCTCAATTTCATTCACCGACACAATTGAGACCTACAGACAATAAATCAGAAAATTTGGCTGACGCTCAGTGAAAATTTGGTACTTATTCATGATATCAATAGTGAGAATTTTGCAAACTATCAGATAAACAAGTGAGCTAGATAAAAGATATTTAAAATTAACCAAAAACGGGCCAAGATTTTGGCTCAGTGGCTTCCGTAGCCACTTCCGAGACCAGTACGCCACATCCATGTGCCTGTTGAAGTTCAGATTTCTTTAATTCCAGTATATCTTCCAGATAATCCATTTAAAAGGGCAGCAGATAATACATCAAGTGCTTGGGAAACTGCCACTCAAGTGCGAGACTTGATTGAGATTGTGTAGCCGTCTCCACTTGGGGCTCTGATTGTCACGGTCATTCAGCAATGGAGCCAGCAGCTACATCTTTTCTCTCTTCCCCTGCTTGTCCTTTTTCTCTGTCATTGTGACCTTTAAATAAATAAATATTTTACACTCAATAACTTTTCAATGGTAATTAAAATTGTCAGTTAATAAGATTAATGTAATAATAAGTAAATCTACCCAAGCGTGTATATTACTTTTAATGAGAAAGATATGTGATAACCCCAAAAATTAAATTGCTACTTTTCTGATATGTAAGTATATACAATAATTAGTAAAATCACAAATATTCTCTCATGTTTTGTTTATGAAGGTCTTATATTGGTCTTGAATTGTATACACAAGGAATCACCAACAAGAGAAAAAAATAATTAAATATGAAAGCTTTGCTGTTCAGCAAAGTCTCTGCATCTTAGTAATCAGCACAACATTACCATGAAATAAATGTGGAGAAATGGAGCAATTGTACAATTGGACAGATGTGTCTTTCCAGATTCATGGAAAGAGAACGGATCCCCAAAACATGCTCCTGAAATACTTGGATATTGGTTTTGGTTTTAAAAAGATAATGCACAGCTTTTGGTTGGTTGGTTGGTTGTTTTAGAAAAAAAAGAAATAGCTCACTTTCATCTTTCCCCGTTACCAACTTTGCAAGACTGATGGCATTTGAAGCCATTCAGACTCAGAAGTCCGCTGTGAGGGGCCAGTGGAATCTGTATTTACTACTCAGAACATGGGAGAGTGTGACCTCCAGATGGTGAGCGCATAGGACAAGATGCCGCTAATCTTAGATTATGTTTAATTAAAAACAAACTATTAGACACATAAATTATACTCATTTATGAGGTGCTATGAAATGTTTCAATACTAAATTTTGGAAATAAGGCATTATAAACCTTGTCTTCAGTGAACAACAAATGCTGTGCATTTTTTCAAATACTAAGCTTAGACAGGTTTATTTATGTGCCGTAACATTTAACATGAATCTTGATAAGAAAATGCATACTTCTCTGCTTTCTGAATGTCTATGTTTTAAGAGATGAAACAAATTAAGTCAAGTTGCATGTATACTTTGAACACACACACACAATGCCTATAGGTCTGAGAGCAGACGGCACATTGAGGTAGAAGAGAGAACGGCTTTTGAGTGCACAGCTCAGACTCTTCCAGAATCGCAGGGTGGAGCATTTGGATGCAGATCAGGGGCAATTTTGCCATCTGGAAGCTTTAATTCCCTGCAGCTAGACACTTTAAAAAAACTGTTCATCGCTTACGGTAATCTCAGCATTTCTGCTGTCCTGGCAGCTATGCACTCGGTGTCCAGGCTGCCTCTGGCTATTAAGTTATTCTTGTCAGATTACCTCCTGCTCCAGACAGCGTGGAGCCCGAGGAGTAAAGTCACTGGCTGGGTGCAGCACGCTGCAGGCCTGTGCCAAGTGCAGACGGAGTTCGCTGCTCTGCACAAACTGCATTTCCTGAATGCTTGGGGAACAACAAGAGGTAGAATTTGGGGGATGTGCAAGAAAATAGTAGGAGAGATGGAAGTGAGAATAGCATTGCGTGCAGATGGAGAGATCGACAATCTGGTGGATCAGGATGGAATTTAGAGGTGGTGTAAAACAGGACATTTGATGCTCAAATGGATTTCTATTTGCGAAAGATGCAAGGGACTGAAGAAGCTTAAATCACATAGAATTGTGTCTAAGAAAGCAAGTGTCATTTTTTTTCTTCATGTTGCAGTGGTATCATTCACCGCCCCCAGGATTTCCCCCGTATTATTACGATAGTATAGTGCATTTAGTAACGGATAGTGAGCGGGAAACAGGCTTGGCTTTTATATTCGTGGTGCTGATTAATCATCAGTCATTGCAGTTTCTTCAACACCTACATAATTATGATTTAGATTATACTTGTGTTTGCAGTGTAATTTTATGTGTATCAAATAATGTCCTGCTATTCTTGCATGATTTTAGTCTTCTCACTTCTTTGTGATTGTCAGAGATGATTCGGCTCATGTCAGTGATCATTGAAAAATTAATATCCAACGTTATAACTGTTTTTTAATTGTGCTAGGTAAAAATTATCTTTCGCTGAACCACTTGCTAGCATGGTTTATATTTGACCAGCATGTTAACAAATTCAAGGAAAATATACAACTTGAAAAAAACTATGCGGAGTTTCATAAAATAATTTGCTCCAAAATGAACTTGCCCTGTAAGTATTTCCTTCAACTTTTTGAAGAATCTTCAAAACCAGGCACATGACACTGCTCCAGGGCTACATACAAAGATTAAGCGGAAGATTTTAAAGGAAGAATAGA